CTATCCCCGCCGCTGACGAACAAAAGACACTGCCGAGTTCTCGTCAAAACAAGCGTTCTAACGCTAACGCGTTAAAAAAAGTCATAAAAGTAGAGCCATTTGGAACTTTCAGCGATCGTGGTACCGCGGTGTGAGAAACGCTCATCCTCACTCGTGGATTGTCGGTTTCCGAATGAATGTGCTTGCTTACCCCTTCCTGACGTGGGAGTATCATGCAGGTACGAGTCTTATATCCGCTGTATTTCACAAAATTAGAATTACACGTCGCAGACCCGACCTCGTACGCTATTCTACGACAATCATCAGCCATTTTGATAGGAATTTGTGCGTCCCCTATAGGCCGTGAAAGTTGCGATTAATAAACTCGCATCTACAGTTAAGAATTATACGCTCGTACATTTTTTTCTAGCTAGTTTCCTTAGTTTTGGGCATCCACTCAGAACTGAATTCAGCTTGAGCGATAAGGGGATTCCAACACCAACGTCCTATTATCAACTGATTGGTTCGCGGCCCGCTGCCCCCCAAGCCATTTGAAGAATCTCCTGAGATTCTTCAAATAATGAATGACATGTGGCAAGAGAATAAGCGCCTCCATGAGGAGAACAAACGGTTGCATGCCCAAATGGAGAAGGTGCTGGCCCACCTCAAGGTCATGGGCGTCCCAACACCGGCGCCCGACGTGAACAAAGCTAAACAAGCCGCCCCCGGTGCCAGGTCCCGGTCTCGGGCTCACAGTCGCTCCCTCTCTCGAGCTAGAAAAACCACAGCAAGGTCTCAGTCGCACCACACAACCTCAAAACAGGCCCCTACAATCCCTTTATTAGGCGAGCACTCCAAGTATACGAGCGTGCTCAACATCATCCGGGGCGAGCGCCAAGCGGAGAATCATCGCCTCGAGCGGAGTCTCCGCGATGAATTCCATACTGTTACCACTGTCCTCTAAAAAAAAAGATGCAAAACATGCTAACGGAAATCAAAAAAAAAAAAAAAAAAAAAATTATAGATGAATGTTGAGCCCAAACGACGGCGACCTTCCAAAGCGCAATAGGTTTCTCACCGATCTGTATACAATAAAATTGCCGGAGCTTTGGTCAGACAGGAGCCTTGCTACGCGAGAACATACGGCGACTACGACCTCTGGCCATTTTACTGCAGGAAACTCGAGGCAGCTGTACGCTTCCTGGCTATACAGTATTTCAGAAACCATCCATCACGCACCTATACAAGGGACACTCGCAGCCGTTAGCAAAAGGCCAAGCGGCGCTCCTAATACGCGCTGACTGCACAGCTGCAGCCTTAGACTTACCACACCTTTGCACAGAGGTGCGTGAGATCGTTGCTGCTAAAGTCCGTCCTCCTGGACAACAACCTTTCATCATTGCATCCGTCTATTATCGCCCTTTTACAGGTAAGCATGCAGACGACGACTTTGCATGACTTAAGAATTTGCAGGTGCACGCAAACGGGACGCCTCTTCTAATTGGCGGCGACTTCAACGCCCGTCATCAACACTGGGGGTACCCAAACGCGAACACCAGAGATAAATCTCTGGCTGACGCTATTGAACTCACAGAACTCGATATTGGGAACATCCCGGGCACCTACACGCGGATTGGCCTCCATGCTAAACAACAAGATACCTCTCCCGACCTCACGTTGTCAACAACGAAACTCACTTGTCACTGGGAGCTCGCGACTGCCAGCTGGGGTAGCGATCACTTTCCAATCTTTATCACTTTGAACCGAAAGAAATTCAGAATAAAAATCACCCGCCGGATTAAAAATTGGGAACTTTTTCGGAGGCATCTTGCTACAGATTTTAACGATTTTTCGACCTTCGCCTCCGTTCTAGAGCAGACCAGAATCACGGCCTCTGAAGAGATTACTTGCGACGACACGGTTGGGCCCATTGATGCACATCTGGCCAACCTATCGAAAAGGGCACAGTCTCTTACTATCAAGGACAGACACGGAGGCAAGTGACACAAAGACCTCATGCGCCTAAAGGACCATTATAATGTCCGTATCCAATATCAATGCCAGCTCGAAACATCACGCTGGTAGGACACCTGCTCTAAACTCAGCCATGAACCGGGCCTACGGCATCTCTTGGGAATCTTACGCTTTATGCTAAAGCGGAAGAAAGGTGCCTCTCCTCTCGATGAACTCTTTCTCCGAAACGATCCCATCGAAGTGAAAGACCACGTTATTCGCACTATTTTCCGCACGCGCGAGCCAACCCCCTCCACCGCTCCCCGAAATGACCATCTCAACGCCACATGAAGCTCTTGAACAGCCTTTTTCTCCCGGCGAGCTCATGCCAGCTCTCCGACAAGGGAAGGCTCGCTCAGCACCGGGGCATGATCGTATCACTTGGCAAGAACTCCGCAACCTGATCGAAACGGCTTTGCGTCAGCTCCTTGAAATTCTCAACGAATCCTGGGCATCTGCGCAAATCCCAGACATGTCTCAAACTAGCTTTGATCTATCCAATCCATAAACCCGGAAAGGACCCGTCCACACCGAGTAATTTGCGCCCCATATCCCTGACTTCTACCGCTTGCAAACTTATGGAGCGAATGATCCATACCCGCATTGAACACTATCTCCAATATGTACAACCCGGCTCGCACCCGACGCAAGCAGGTTTCCGGCCTGGCAAGGGGACGCACAATTGTCTGTGTCTATTACGCTGTGTCATTAACCACCGAAGTTGGAAAGCGCTTCCCGACTATATCTTAGCCTTAGACATGCGTAAGGCTTTCGTTAACGTTTCAAAGGAGGCCATACTCCAAGCATTAGCGCAGCGCTACCCAAGCCAACGCGCCCAAGAGTGGATTCGCTCGTTCCTCCAACAGCGACCTATTCAACTCAATGGAAAGGCCTCGGGATGGGCTCCGAAAACCTATTTCTTGGGGTCCACCCTCGGACCTTTGCTGTTCAATCTAGCAATGACACGGGTGGCCCAGCGGCTGGAACGTGACACTGCAGCCCGTTTTACTATATATGCAGACGATGTTACAATTTGGACTGAAGCAGCGGATTACCCGGACAGTCAAACAATGCAGATCGAGCTACAGGCGGCTGTCCTCAGCGTCTCGCAAACTCTCGAGGAGCTGGGTCTACAGCTATCCCCGAAAAAAACACAAAAAACTGCTCAGTGTAGATGGCAAGCACGTGACAAACCCCGCTCACCAAATTACCCTCGACGTTGGCTCGCAGGACATCCAGTCTAGCAATTGCAAGGTTCGCATCCTAGGGATTCAGATCGCCAGCTGTAATAGCCCTAAAACGTGGACTAAACATCTGCGCAAAAACTGGTCCCCACTGCTACACACCTTTAGACGGGTCCCCAATAAATATGGTGGAGCCCGGCAGCAATCTTGTCAAACACTGGCGCGTGCTACGGCTGTTGGCCGGATACTATACGGTACACCAGCCTACGACTGCACCCCAAGCCTGCTACGAGATATAGAACGCCTGCACAGGGCCACGCTGCGCAGCATCGCCTGTCTGCCCAAACACGTGCGCAACGACAGGCTCTTGGCCACGGTGCCAATACCTCTGATAGATGTCATTATGGCTGAAGCACGTAGCCAATGTACCTCTAGATTAGAAAACACCTTACAAGGGCGAGGAACCCTAGCATGGGACCTTCATCGTCACGTGGTCTGGAGCGGTCCTGATGAAGCTTCGCCGTGGGATAGCCCCGTCATCAACCTAAAACCCATCAAAGCGATACCTACACAAAATTCCGACCTCCGTAACCGCATAGCCTACCAGCACCACAACGCTGAAAATAATGGACACATTCACATTTACACTGACGCCAGTTTTTTGGCGGACCGAGCCGGGTTAGCGTGGCATTGCACCTCTCGACTAGAGCTCACAGGCACTCATGCTTGTACTCTACCGCAAGGCACCACCCTGCAGGCTGAACTATTATCAATCTGTGGAGGGACCTCCTCGATTCCCACCCTCTCTGATCTTCAAAGAGAACAGACGCTAACGCGTACATACCGAATTTACACGGACTCCGTCGCAGCTCTAGAAGAACTGTCAACACCAACGACCGAAGATGCTACTGCTGTTGAAATCCGTAAACGCCTTCAGATGCTTCAAGACTCGGGCGCGGATGTTCAGATCCTCTGGACGCCAGCCCATACATACCGGGGTCCCAGGAGGAAATGCTGCAGCACATGCAGCCGCCACACAGGCACGTGGGAGCAACGTAACTACAACCCCACCCTCCTTACACATCCCCTTCGCAAATCCTTTTTTGACCTTGATGACGGCTCGGAGTTCTCTCCACTATCTACGTACGCGTATCCGCAAAGATAGTAAGGATCGCCTGCAGAGGGCGACACCCGAAATCCTTTTCTCCCCCACCGACAAATACACGCGCGCACAAGAAGTATTTCTTAACAAAATCATGACTAACGCTGCATACACACCACACATTATTCAAAAATGGCTCCCTATCGACCTCAATATTCCCCTGAGCTGCCCTCACTGCCAGAAGGTAGCGAAAGCAGACCTCCTTCACCTTATATGGCATTGCTCCGCATTCACGACCGGCCGGACACGATTGTACACATCCCTCCTACCGACCATGCAACCATTGTTCAACACCTCTTTGATCAACCAGCCAGTAGATACCTTCTCGCCACTTCTGGTAGCGTTAGCGGTCTGACCAGAATGGTGTAGGCTGGCTCACTCTTTCTTTTCGACTGCTCCAGGATACCCTGCAAGACTTAGGTGCTGCAGAAGACACCGAAGACCAAAGACGGCGGAACTGATGCCACTTTCGTAAAAACCAGACACTCCCCTTCCCCTCCCTCAACCCTCTTACCCCCCACAGTGGCCTTGTGCCATCCTCCCTTCCAAAGGATCAATAAATAAATAAATTTGTATAAAACTATTCACAATGCTTTGAGTGTTTCACGGACGCGTTCAGCCGGTCGGGTAAACAATAAAGAGCTGGAAATGCCCTTCCTTACGTGTGTCCTTCCAAACAGGCTAGCGATTCGCTGATATGGGACCAGTCAATGGCGTCAGGCGCCTTTTGGATCCATTTCTCGACTTCAAGCCTGTTCGCAGGCAGGAAGTCGCTGAGCACGATATCGTTCATCCTTCTCGCAGCCGAGAAAACGTTGTGGACGGTGGGGCCACAACCGACGTCCAGGAGTTTGCACCCGCTGACTGATACTGCAGAACAAACAGAAGACAACCTGCTCGTCAAAATGGCAACACCACACCTAGTTAACCCAGAATTAGCTGCTCGTTTGCCTGGTTAAGCAGAAAGTCATGAAATTGAGAGTGGACTACTCTAGGGTGCCTCAGTGCTCTTCTTCTTAGAGTGATGCCATATTTTGTAGCACCCGATGCCGGCAGTACGTGCTCTCTGGAACAATACAAAGAAATAGCCGATAACAAAATGTCGTCGTAGCACTGTCAATGTCAAGAGCTCGGGCTGAGAAACGCGCTTTAACGCGATCCGGAACAGAAAAGAAACAAAAGCGTTCGTAACAGAATGGTCAGATGAAATTATCAGCCTTAGCAGAGCGTACTTCAAGGCAGCCTATACTTCGTTTCACTTTAAGTCCAGACGCAGCAGACTATACGAGCTCTTGAAATCTATCAGATAGCGTCAAAAGCGTGCCATTATGGTGTTCGTCAAGTTTCCGTACGTGTTCTATTGCGGCTGAACCAATCATAAACTAAACAAGGCCTAGTGACTTCCGCTTTTGACGCTGCTTGATTGGTCCCAGTAGCTCGTTGCGTCGGCTTCGTCTGGACTTAGGTTGAAACGAAGCATAGACTACACAAGCGGCAACCAGTTTCTTTTGTTCCAGACGGACAAAAACTGGAGGTGCAGCACCTGTTTAGGAATAAATTGAACAGATATAAGCATATCGCGTATGCATTAAAGGCCGGCGTACAACCTCGATTTTCTGCAGGAAAGATAATCTTCTTAGCGGTCCCTCTACTAAACAGTGGGGGGAGCCAAGTTGGGACAAGGTAAAAAGTGGAGTGGATATCTGAAAGAAGGAGGCGGGCCAAAATGGAAAGCGCGAAGTGTACGTCGGCCTTTAAAGTCCAACGTACGTACAGCCTTGGTTTTCTACAAGGATGACAATCCTCTCAGCGTCCTCCACACCTAAACTGCGAGGGGGCCGTGTTGGGGCAGGGTAAAAGTGGAGAGGATGTAGGAAAGGAGGAGGCGGGTAAAAGAGGAAATCGTGATGTGTTCGTCGGTCTTTAAGGGCCACACTGAACGAGAATACATAAAAAGAATGCATTACCCGCTGGACTCACGACAATTTACGCAACCTGTATTGTTATCGCAGACACTGCTCTTGTAGACCAACTCTAAGTGTCTGCAGGCCAGGGGTTTCCCCAGGAATTGAAATTAGGGGGGGGGGGGGGTCTAAATATTTAGGGGGGGGGGGGAGTTGGGGGGGGGGGGCATTGAGAATAGAGGAGTTATTGCGAAATAAGGGGGTGCCTTCAAAAAAAAACAAGGGAGGTGTACACCCCCCCCCCCCCCCCCCCTTCCTATGGTGTGTGTAGGGAAACGACTGCTGCGGGTGAAGTATTATCCCGTCCTGTGCGTGAGCACATTTATTTTACAAATTTTTTATTCCTTTCTGCCCTTCCCTTTAGCCAGTTAGAACACGGACCTCGGCGTAATTACCAGTGCATTTTCCAACGCAAATTTCTGTCTAATTTAGATGTGCTCATAGCAGAGATAATTCGGAGTGTAGTTCTGCAGCCGCAATGTGGACGACGGTGGACGAATTTCCGGTTGGTGTATTTTGCGTGAAAGCTCGTTGCATGTACGCGAAGTTAACTCTCGCACGCCTGCGGTCACACCTGCATCTTGATCACACGACGAGAAAAAATGACGGCCCCCTAGAGTGTCTCGATGCATGATAAGCTGAAGTCACTGGATCCTGGGAAAGTAGCGCCATTGCTATCCTTGCTTGCTAGCAGAACACTAACAGACACGCGGAAGAAAAAAATCACGAAAGGTGAGTGGTTGATAGGTTTGAGTTGCCATGTCAATCGCCATTTCGGTCCCTTCAAATCTTCGAAGCTTCCGAAGGGTCGTTTTGAACCAGTCGCAGCAAGATCTCTATAGAGTATCATCGCACTGAAAGCTTTCCTCGCCAGTATAAGCGTCTTTGGCACCGCGTACGCGATCCACACATCAATCATGCTTATCTCCACAGATCGCTTACAACGATATGGGTCTTCTTACTCATTTAAAGACAGGGACGTTTCTTTCTTTCTTTTTTTTTTTTCAATGCCTCCGAGCACCGACGCCGCACATGGTGGCGGTACGAAGATGTACGCTCATGTCGCCGGTGTGCGAATAGCGAAATCTCGGTGTATACGAGACACGTCACTTTCAAGCTACCCGTCACCGGCGAATTTAGAAAGGATCACCAAAAGCGAAGAGGTTAAGGAGAAACTACTCATTTAATGGACCAAAATGGCGACCATACGGGGAGCTTGGCGGCGTTTTCTTAGGATGACTTTATATTAAGCCACGAAAGTAACGTGTTATACTCGGAGACAAAGTGCATTTAGTGGCAAGCAGCAGTCGCACTGCTCGTGTACGTACAAAAAAAAGCACGTGGTGTTGGCGGCAGGCATGATGAAAGAATCATCTGTGGACGGGCATCAATTATGTTAGAAGCAGCTTCGTATGTATGCTTAGAACATGTCTGCATGCAGTTTGTGTTCGACCAATTTGACCGTCATACAAGGAAGGCCACAGATGGTGTCCGCGGACTGTCTTTTGTATGTTGTATCAGCGATGTGACCTCGCCTTCAGGGTGTTGGCAGGTCGCGCCGTTGCACGTGACGCGATACTTCTTTTTTTTTTTGCTCCGAAGCACGTGAGGAGCGCCTCTCTGCTCGAACTTTGACCAGTACGACGGCGCCATTTTCTGTCAATCTATCGGTATCACCGCGCTCGGTATGTATTTTTTCTGCGATCGCGTGCCGTCAACGTCAAACCCTGCAATGTGCGACACCGCCCGCAAAAGAAGCCGTGTAGATGCTGGAGGCGCGTGTGCATAACCTCGATCGGCACTCAAGGAGCGCACGCGCACGGTCGCCCAAGGCTTTTATTGTACTGGCATACTTAAGACTACCTAAAACAGCGCACAGGAAGAAGAAAATAGAAGACAGGAAAGAGCGCTGTTTTAGGTATGTCTTCTAAGTACCAGCCAACGTTACTAAACCACCCAGTTGGGAAACTCGCCGTAGAAACCTGGGTCGCTGGCGTCCACCGAGACCGAGCTAAATGCGACAACAGCGCCACTCTTTATCGTTTGTCTCTACTGTGGTCACCTTGAGCTTTTTGAAAGCCTGCTTTTGCGTAAAAACAAACGGAAAAGACTCTTTTTCTATGAAATTTATTAGAGTTTAGTACAAAAAGAGGGGGCGCGTTATGTTTTTAAAATCTTTAGTTTGCAGGATTTTGCGGCACAATTAATATTGTTTTTATACAACCATGCCTCAGCGGGGCTTTCAGGTAGCGCGTCCCGACCTAGGTGCATTTTAACTTCGGTTGTCCGATGCGGCGCCATAGAGTAATATAGTAAACGTAAAGAGAGGACACAGGAGCCGATTCGCGGCCCAGATAGTGCGTTTAATACCCTCCGCTAAGTGGCGCTTTTCTGCAACTTGGTTAAAATTAATTAAAACTCTTTCTGTGAGAAGTATTTATTTTTTAAAATTGCAATGCTTTAAAATTGTTTGAAGTACTTAAAACGACTAAATAGTTTAAATTGAATACGTCACAAAAACCACGTGATGAATGGCGCCTGCCATGGCCTGCCTGCCTGCACGCCGTTGCCTCTGCTCGTCCCTGCGTCGTTCGTCTGTGCCGTGCGTGCCGTCCATCTGTGCTTTCTGCTGCATCATGTTCGGTCGACTTTGCATCAATCAAGGTGACGCATGACCACCCGCGTGCTCGCATGCTCGGCGTGAATTCAAAGAGCCGGTTGGTTCGAGCTTCTCGCGCTGTTGTTTCTGCCGGGCTGTCTGGCTGCACTTGAACGTGTGTGCATGTTGATTTTCGATGAGATTGTTTTAAAAAAAAGAATATAACTTACGACCCTACACACGACATTGCCCATGGGTTCACAGATGACGGTGTTGAACGAACCTCTAACATTGCAAATAGAACCTTGGTTGTTATGCTGTCTGAAATTTCCAGGAGGTGCGTTTAGCCCCTTGCCTACACTGTTGTGCACATTTCAACAACGTCTTCTGTTTAACGCAGTCTCCTCATTTCTCTCATTCGGGAGCTTAAAGGGGCGGTGCAACGATATTCAATTGGAATGTTTTTTCACTTTACACGAGCTTACTGGCACTGGTGGGACTCAAGGATACTCGCACGCAACGCCACTGACCAAGAAACTCCTTTGTTGCGCTGTAATTTCGAGGACAAAACCGAGTGTTTTCACTCAATCTCTCCTTCGAAAAACCTGATGACGTAGCTGCGCGGTAGCAGTACCGCCCAGTGACGATATTTGAATACGGCTCATAGATTGGACCCGAGCATGGCGTGGACACTCGATTTGGGCTCGTGATAATCAATAGCTCGAGAAACATTCGGGTAGTGTCCTGTGTCCAATCGCTGCAATGACAACAACAGCCGAACCATAACAATGTATGGAACTCAGCGCGTGTCCTGTGCCATGCCAACTCCAGCGCATGGCTATGATCAACATTGGTGGCATATAATCGGCTCCAGATCACGGGGCCGCTTGTTCTGGCTGCCAGTTAAGGGGTGAACTCTGCTCGTTTTTCTTTATTTTTTTTCTGCGACTTCAATTGCGTGTGGTGAAAACGAACGGGTATTTCACAGATCATTAACGTCAGGGATTCGTCCTAAGCGGTATTTGAGCAAAATGGAAATATCAGTGCATCGCCCCTTTAAGACTGTTGGCTTCACAGTAAAGGCTGTGGTCTGTGGTTAGGGAGCTTCAAACGTAAGCTTGGTGTGTGTGATGATAAGCCATTTTTTGAAGTTGACAACGAACACGTTTACTTTGTTTTTGATGTTCCGCACCTTCCGAAAACAACCAAGAGCAATCTCCAAGCCCACAAATTTTGCATTGGAAATGAGGTCGTTGAGTGGTCTTCTATTGTTGAACTTTATTGTTCTATCCATGAGATAAGCTTGCAATTGGCTCGAGACTTACTGAGAGACACATTTTTTCAAGAACCTTTCTGTAACATGGAAGAAAATTGTGCCCCACAGGTACTGAGTGCCTCACTCTTTCTTGCAATCATATCCGTTGTTTATGCCAAGGATCTTCCTGAGGCAGTCATGGCTACAGCCTATTTCTGTGATACGATATACATACTTTTTGATTGTCTAAATAGCTAAAAAATTCAAGAAGACAGGGCAAAAGTTGCGTCATGCAATTCTGAAGGGAGAATCTGAAATACTTGATTTTCTCCACCAGTAACTCGGATGGATTTCAGCATGGCAGTTCCAAAGTAGAAGGCAGCCATAAGCCATCATTGGGTGGCAAGTTACTATAAAAAGTGTCCTCATGCTCTGGGATGAGCTTTCAGGCAGCCATGACTTTAAGTTCTTACTCACACGACGCCTGCAGCAAGACACACTTGAAAAAGTTTTTGGAGCTATATACAACAAATGCTGGGCTGCTACACAAACCCAAATTTGCAGCAGTTCACCTCAGGACTAAAACACCTCCGGATAAAGAAACTGTTTTAACTGTCGGACAATGAAAACGTAGAGGATGACAAGGCTGACCTCCTAAAGGAGTTCCAAATATCTTCGCACCATGAAAGTTTAATTTCAGACGTTGTGGAATGTCTTCCAATTGATAACTTCCCGCCTCTAGAGGATATTTCTGAGCTTGCATCAGACATCAGGTCTAACATAATTGATGACTCGTCCACTTTTTTATTACGTTGGGGGCTATTTTATCAAGCTTTTGCTTGAACAGACAACTTACAGCTGTGGCTGTTCACAGCTGCTATCGGATGAGTCTAATAACCTGACCAGGCCTCACCAGTACTGTCTTGTTCCTAAAGCAAACCATGTGCCTGGAAAATTCTTCAGGAACTTAGTAGTACCATCACAAGCTGCCTTTCAATTCATTCAGGAACTAGAAAATCACTTTCTTCCCATAATAGAGAGTGTGACACATGTTCGAGGAGTGTGTGCCGCCTTGTATAGCACACTTTGAGGTCTGGGTGGTTTTAGCCTTTGCCCAGAGAAGTACCACAAAGGGTTTTTAAAATTGTTTTGCAGAATACGCTTGTGTTGACATGTTTGATTGCTTAATTGCAATTTGGACAAAGTTCGGTTGCACTCTTCAGTTGCTAGTAAGAACGAGACAGGTTTAACTGTTAATAGTGTATTCACAGAGGCGGTTGCCAAACCAAAAACAAAAAGTGCTTATTAAGTGGGCGGTGCAGCTTGCTCTCCAAATATTTGTTTCCCCTTTTTCCAGCGAATGTGTATCACGGCTCCCTAACAAAAATATTTGTCCACTTTCTACAAAATTTCGATAGAAAATAGTGTATAGAGGCTAAAAATATTTGAAAGAAAATGTATCCACTTTTGTGTCCACTGTCCATAGTTCTTCAGCCACTTTTTTCTGAAGCCATATTTCTTTTCTGAACAATTTCGGGGAATGTTTAGGGACGTTGAATCTTGTCAGATTTCGAATAGAGTTCTCATTGTATGGTAATGGCTCGCCCGCAGTGAGTTTGAGGCTATGCAAATTGGTGTTTTTTTATATTTGCCGGAAATCGGGAATTTGTACTATCCGGTGTGTGCTTCGCACTGTTATTATACTCTTATGACTGGTAATGATAGCAATGTCTTATTTATTTTTGCACTTACTTCCCGTACCCTAGTCGGCGTGAAGGTGAATGTATCATGCATCATGTTGTCCGTGGAAAGGTTTTGTTAACTTGGTTCCGCTACGAATCTATTACGAAGTGTGCGATATGCCGAAGTCCTTCATATTCATTTATTTTTGTGAGTATCGATCTCTTTCATATAAAACATGCAGAGCTTCTGAAGTAAATCATGTATACATGAATGTGGTCCAATAAAATGTGTTCGAACCACTTACTGTTGTTGACCCCAAAATGCTCCACCAGCCAGGAGTCAATGCGGCGATTGTGTAGCTTCAATGCTTTACAATAGAAAAACAACAAGAAAGATATATACTTCTGCTTTGTGAAGTAAGTTGGAATATTGTTTGACACATTTTGCACGGACCGTTTCGTAAAAAATAAAGCAAAAGTGCGTCAGTATTCAAAAAAAAAAAAAAAAAAAAAAAAAAACCCAGCGGCTTTGGGAGTCAAGGAGCTCCCGAGAGCCGAGCGAGGCGGGGAGGAAAAAGAGAGAGAAGGGTACCGGAGAACCGGAGCAGAAACGCCCAAACCGAAACCGAAACTAACTTGACCGGAAACGGAATCAGATTATACTTAATACCGCCAACTAGGAGCGCTACCTGTCACTGGTCTATCTGGGCCGCTGGGGCCTATGGCAGTGTCCGCTCTTTACCTTGTGTATATTACTCTATGGCGGCGCGTCCGCCGGGGAGACGGGGGTGGCACCGCTGTATCTGTTCTTACAGCCAAAATAGAAGTCACGTGCAGTTCCTCGAGTGGCCGCTGCGGGAGAAATGGTGGCGTTGTGTTCGTCATTTAGCTCGGTTCTCGGAGACAGATTGGGGCCACTTTTTCAAAGCTGTCTCTATGGGAGTTTCCCAAATGAGTGTTTTAGTAACGTTGGTACCAGCGCTCTTTCCTGTCTTCTATTTTCTTCGCCCTGTGCTTGTACGCTGTTTTAGGTATGTCTTCAAAGTGCCAGCTAACTCAACTTTCTACGTCATTATACTAGAACCAAAAGTTGTCCCCAGTGGCGTAGCCAGGTTTTCGGGGGTGAAGAGGCTGAGGTACCTCTACCTGGTATTTCTATTACATGGGGTGCGGGTCACAATGCCTCTGTATTGTGTAGGATAGGCGGACAGGCTGAATTCGGGGAAGGGGGGGGGGCGATGAATTTCATAAGCCCCTCCTCCTGTCTAAGCCACTGGTTGGTCCACGAGCACGATGTAGACTTTTAGCCAAACACACTTACGAACGTCAAATATATCGTGAAGGTGCTTCTGTTCAAAGATGTATACAGGTTTGATGGTCTCCAATACTTCCTTGTAGGCTTTCGAGTCAAAATCACGCCTGTAACTTTCCATCACTTCCTCCTGCCGATTCATGATGTTCACGTTGCGTAGTTCGACTCTGCTGAAGGTTCTGTTCTGTAAACATATCACAAATTCAACATTCAGAGACTTTTCTGGGTCACAGGACAACAACGAACATATTCTAGCTCCACGGACAATTGAATGCCAAAACGGCGTAGAAACATTTGACCCAAACAGCCTTGGGCCCTAGCACGAACCAATATTCTTCCTCGTTTATTGTGCATTTAGCTAATGTACCACGACACTCTGGCCTATTTATTACGATGGTATTAAATAAGCCAGAGAGTTGTGAGGTCGCGACGGCGCTTCAGGCGCACTTCCAATCGGGGGTGGGACACAAAAACGCGGGTGAACCAGTCATTGCTCTGGTGTTTGGGTAGAATCTAGCAGACACTTTTATTGTCGTCAGAACGACGGATAGCATGTCTAGATTGGAGCTGCACAGAAAAAGCTGGGAAAGGTGCCAAGATTAGTTGTCATGTGTTGCCCGCCCGATCCGTTTGATAACGTGGTTAGGCGCCCCCCAGAAGGGAAAGCTCAACAACGATCACCTGCACGATCAGCTGCGCGCGGCAAGCATTTTGCTACGCTTTACACACGCGCCAAATTACAGCCGTCATTGCTGACCTTCTCTTGTCTTACCGAGATGCCGAGCAACTAAACGGCAGTTGACGATCCTCTACAAAAGCCGATGCTTTAGAAAAGGACACAGTTGAATCTAATATGGCAATAACCTGGCCTGCTATGGTAATGATGATGTGAAATAAACGGAATAAGAGGAAACAAAAACTGAAGGTCAGTTATGGCGGCGTCCATGCACAGCTGCTGCAAAGCGTCACCTTGTGTCGTACCGCAGGAAAGGCTACAAGAGCGAGCTCTTTGCTCTAGGGCACATCTCGGCGGCACAAACTCTCGTGACTTAAGAGCGGCTGCCAACGCTATGAGCTCACGCTTCTAGCCTTCGCTGCGGTACAACATAAGGTGAAACGGTGTGTAGTAAGGTTTATTTGGGTACTGTTTCAACATAAACACGTGAGTACTGTGAAGTGATAGGAAAACCCCGGACTGTGTATGTTCTGAGCTTCTTCGCGATCAACCGACAACTGAGTGTCATGCCCTTTGAAGAGGTATTAACAATACGAAGTAATAGTAGGTCTACCAAGGCCGGTAAACTTGAAATATGTTAGGGATTAATTGGCTCAGTTTAAATGTAGATACAAGATTGTTACCGGTGGCAATTGTCCACTCGTCATGCCTGATCAAAGCCTGACTCGCACAATGCAAATTTCCTGGGTATTTTTCAAGCAGTTGCGACGTCGCACGAGTAACCACAAAGCAATGTCGATGTTTTTTTGTTTTTTTTTACGTAGCGAGTTTTAGAACGTTAGGGAAATTGCATCATGTAAATCAAGCTTTACACGGTGTGATTATACTTGCGATTTATGAGTCAAGACGTCGAGCACCGTAGCTTCCGCCCATACTTCTTTCGCGGCACGAGCGGCGTTGCAACTGAAAATCGCGAGCAGAATAGGACTACCTTTGGGTTTACACGAATGCGATCGTAGCACAATCACACTGCCTCTCTACTTTTTTCTCTTCTACCGACCATACCATTCCGATCAAAATAGTCAAATCTCGATTCCATGCGCTGTACACGCTTTGCAGCAGCTCTTCATGGGCACCGCCATAACCGACCTTCAATTTGTGTTTCCTCTTATTTCGTTTACTTCACTTTATGCCAGCAGGCCGGGTTATTTCCCTTTTAGATATTATTGTGTACTTCTCCCCAGGCATTGGCTCTGTGGAGGCTCGTCAATGCCCATTTTCAGTGGCTCGGCACCTCGGTAAGACAAACGAAAGTCAGCAATGGCGGCTGTAATCTGACGCGTTTGTGGCCAAACCGCGGCTCTCGAGCCGCATGCGGCTCTTTGCTGGTCCAAGTGCAGCTCGCGGATCCCTCGTAAAGAGACCCCCCCTTCCCCCCCCCCCCCCTCCCTCCCTCCCCTTCCGCCCTTTCCGCGTTTCCCAAGGATTTCAGAATAAAGAGCAGCTTGCGGTTTGTCAGCCTTATTCTGCCCGCACACGTACAGTCGAACCACTTTTTACTCGTATGTTTCCACAGATCCTGTTCCTTTCATTGTTCGAAGGAGTTTGCCGGACCCTAGGGGGAAAGGCATCAAGTACAGAGAGTGTCAAACCACGCATGTACTCTGGCTTGGGGTCGAGGAAATGTTCATCTCGCGGCCTTTGTCACTCGCCTGTGATATTTGTCTCCTTTTAGATAACGGATGTTCCCTATCGTATCTTGTTGAAGGTCGCGGAAGCCCGAGTTGACGTCATTCATAGCCCCCCATGGCTCTTGCAAGTTTCTTTGGTTTTGTTTGGGGCTCATAGGCCGAATCAGCCTGGCCACCCCTGGTCTATACGGTCGCATCCATGTAAACGCAGTCCACGTAAATCCAGTTTTTGCGCCCATTTTGCGGCTTCTACGCAATATGAGTCGCTTTCCATCACGCCATTCACGCGAGGATTTTGCGCAATAGCGAACCTCGGTCATTTTTTAGAGGCAAAGAACGTGTAGTCAGCCATTGCGAGCAACGTGCACAGTCGAGGACAGGCTATAGAAATTCGGTAAATGGGCCGCTTCGGGTGCTGGTTGCCTTCCACCGTGCTCTGGCTGCACGTGCGACGAAGTGTTATCAGAGCCAGAAAGCTCGCTCCGAAGGTGGAACGTCTACGGAATTCTTAAAGGGCAACTCTGCTCAATTGCGAAAAATTTAGGCTTACATGTGATTCCATTTTACAAAGCACTACTAAACAGCTCTACGTCTTCGGATTCGCGAAATGTGGAATATTATTTGTGTAATCCTAATTTAAACATCAGCTGATACCGAAACCGAAACTTCGGTTGCGTCAGACAACATTGGTCTCGTGGCGTCAGAGTCACGGCCACGTCACGCCGAACCACGTGGTCTTCTGACGTTCGGGGGGGGGGGGGGGGGGGGCGAGGGACAGGACACGCGACGCGAGCAGGTCGCTTCATGTGGCGTGGACGGTGATGGCACGGGGGAGAGGGGAAAGGGGAGAAGACGAAAGAGGAGAGGGGGTGCGTAGAAACAGACTGATAAGCGCGCAGGGCAGCGCAAACTAGCACATCCGCGTTACGGTGATCACGTGGACGCCGTTCAGCCAACACCGGGAGGAGAAACTCATGACGTCATCGTTCAATTTCGCTTTGAAAAGTAAAAACAAACGAAACGTGAGAATGACGTAGTCATGCCTCTGACGTAGTGGCTTAACGTTGGCCGCTCCAACTCCGTCGCATTGACTGCGCTGACGATTGCGCTTCACGTCGCATGCTAGAGTTAGCAGATTTCGGCGACTTGGCTCACTTGAAGGTTTGCTGGTCAGTTTATTAAATATATAGACGGAATTAGATCGCAATATTTGACATGGGGTCTTCCGATATGATACTATAGAGGGCTACATAGTTTTCTAAATAATCAAAAATGAAGCGGAATTGCCCTTTAAAACCTCACCCGCCCAATAGTGTACAACGGAACCATTCCAACACAAAGAAGCACACGGGAAGTCACACTGACGCCACCAACCTCTCACCCAATGGGTTAGGGATGCGAGACGTCACGCTTCTTGCCCACACTAGCCGGTCTGCTGGGACATCTTGCAACAGACACGCGGTGTTGGCTGCAGACACGATGAGAGAAGTATGTGCGAACACGCCTGACGCATGATCGAAGGCGTGTTCGAGAAATATGTGTTCTATTGTTTTGGGTTTTTTTCATAGTAAACAATTAATCGACCATGGGACAAACAGACTTCTCCTCAAGCCACAGCTTTACAGGCTGCGCGCCGCAGTGCAGTTTAAAGAAAAAGTACTTAAAAGAGGGTTTCACCGGCATTTTTTTTTACCCTCTTTAAGACGTCCTGTCCTAGTCCGTCACAGTGCAGTGACCTATATGGAGGACGGGTAAAAGGGCGTCCACCAGGTCTTCATACAGCCGCTTGCGGGCTTGCGGCCTAAAGGGGCACTCAAGTGGTTTTTGGGAAAGCTACTTTTTGGTGCGAGGGCGTTAAGGAAGTGTCAGTGAATGAGTACCTTCAGTTTTAGAAGGCGGAACTGCCTATTAATCACGCAGGAATAATATACGTGCGGACTCTTTTCTGTTCCTGCGTCGACCTATGAAATTATCGTATATTTGAAAATTTTGGCGGCCTTTGTAAAGTTTCGCTAAAGAAACAATTTTCAGTTCATTTAGACATGTTGTGCATGATAATTTCACAAGACGTAAAATATTTCTAGTTTAGAATACGCGATACTGCAATTATCGTTGCACAAACATGGGACTACGTTGTCTCCTTGCCTTCCTCAGCGGGGGGGGGGAGGGGAATTTCCCGTTCTTTCGGGATGCGCGGAAGCGCACGTATCATGAACTCGCGCCTCGTTGCATGCCGGTCGTGCCGGGCTCCTTCTATCTGCAAACATGGCGTCGGTGGTGATCGTCGACGTGGACGGCGTGGTGTAAGCTCATCGTTCCGCGTAAAAGCGCTATCCTTGACTGTGAATTTTCGTCTTGTATCGCTATGATAACCCAGAACGTACTAGAAGGGAAGATTTACCTACTCGTGCGGCGATGTTGTGGCGGAACTCTCAAGACAGCAGAAACGCCCGTGCCGTCGTGTTTGTTTACTTCGACTACAGTGGTGCTTTCTAAGCATTTGTTTCCTCGAACATCGCCCGGATTTCTTATTTGGCGCATTTCAGGCGTGGGCTCAAGTTCAAGGTATTACTGGCGCGTACCGTATAAAGGTTGCAAATTTTCACGCGTTCTATTCACCGGAGAAAAGTGATTAGTGTTAGCAATCCTGAACGCTCGCAAAGTCTATCTGATCACGAAAATATATTTCTACGTTGCTATATCGTTGCTAAGATTACATGTCTTTTATAATCGTAGAAAAGGCGTGTGGCGATATTTGTGCTATTGGCAAAGGCGTGTATTAGAGTCGTGATCGTCCAAGACGGCGTACTGAATTTTTCTTTTCTTTTTTTTTCATCCACTGTTCCCTGCAAGCCTATCATGAAAAAAAAAAAAAGCTTTATAGAAAACTGTCTATCTATATTCTGTTATGGCATTGAGTGGCAGTGCGTCCCCTTTTTAGAGGCGCCGCTGAAACAGCTGACGGCGGCGTAGAAGCGGTCGCCGTG